GAGTAGAGTAGAGTAGAGTAGAATTCTTTATTGGCCAAGTGTGATTAGACACACAAGGAATTTGTCTCCAATACATAAGCTCTCAGTGTACATACAACAACAGTGCTAGAACAGATCATTCTAAACTACTAAATCTATTTGCAAATTACTGACCTGTCTTCTATAAGTTACATTAGTAACAAAGTAGTCAACAGGAACAATAATATTACTAAAACAAAACAAAATTAAAGCTTCAAAACTCTCTGTTAACACTTGTTGTAATCCAGTCGTAGAAAATTTACCACAGCATCTTATCTATCCCAAGTCATCCCAGAAGTTCATTCTGGATCAAATAGCCATGTTTGTTTCTTGATACCATCACTTATCAATTGTTTAATTAAGTGTAATAGATTCAGTCTCCGGAATAAGTCTTATCTTCTGATCGAAATTCATTAGCAATTTTGAACCAACCAATTTAAAAAAAACAAAAAAAGTATGGGATTATCTTTCCCAACTAACACATTTTATTAATTTATATTTAGGATGATTGAAATAGGTTTGTTGGGAAAAGTGCGACTCATATCATTTTGAGTTTTGCTGCTAAAGACTAACACAGTTGTTCACTTGCAATGATGTAAAACAACTATAAAAAAATATTGCCATTTTCCCAATTTTATATTGCAATTTACTAATTTAAAAAAACCCTTAAGGGACTAATCTGCACAGAAAGAGACATATTCATGAAGATACAAGACAAAAATATCTTCTATTGGGTGAAGTGGTTTGCAAATGTGTATTGTGGTTAATTAAGCCTGGACACATTTTGGAGTAAAGTGGCATGGAAATACTTGTAATAAATCTATCGACAAATTTAGAAAGAAAAAAGGCATGTTTGGAGAAAGGCACTGAAATACATATCGATAGTGCAGTTGTTGCTTTTTAATCTGAAAAGCCAGACTCAGCACTTCTACAAAAGTGGGAAACATTGAATTTGAAAGACTCAAAGAAGTGGGAAACGGAGAAACTAAAACTGACATTTTCATCTGCTCCTAATGAAATCAATAAAAGCAGAATCTTTGTAGCTCAGGACTGCTATGAAATGAAATTTTATTTGCAGTCTAAAATTGATATAAGGTGTATATATATTTTAAAGATTTTAATAATATTTGTAGCTCAGGGTTGAGATGAGGGGTCCCTGGTGCTCTCTGAGCTGGGTGGTTTTCTTGCAGACATTTCATTACCCAACTAGGTGACGTCATCAGTGCTAGTAAGGAATGGGGTTTGCTCTCCATTTATATTCTAGTGTCTTACCCTGCCAATGTTGGTGCAGTGGTTTAAGAGATTCTTTGTGCTCCTTGCTGTTGGCTTCTTTGGCAATTTCTTGGGGCAAGACACTAGACAGAACAAGACACATGAATATCAACTGACAGCAAATCCCGCTGTTGGCCAGCACTGATGGTGTTACCTAGTTTGGTAATGAAATGTCTGCAAGAAAACAACCAAGTTCAAGGAGTATCACGCATCCCACAATCATCATCTTCTCCTTCTCCTTCTCTCCTCCTCCTCCTCCTTTCCACAAATCTCATCCCTTCTAGCACTGATGGTGATACCTAGTTCAGTAATGAAACATCTGCACGAAAACAACCAACTTCAAGGAATATCAAGCATCCCACAACCCTTTTCTCCTCCTCCTCCTCCTCCTCCTCCTCCTCCTCCTCCCCCCCCCCCCCCCCCC